TGATTAAAATAATTAAATTAATTTTTTATTTATGGAATCACGAGAATAGATTATTTAAAAAGAAGCTTAGATTTAATTATTGACGAAAGTGTTTAAATAGGATCAAACTTGTTTCAAGAAATGCATCAAGGTAGCAGAGAAAAGATTAACAGAAGATTAAGAAAAATGCTTAAGTAAATGCTCAATTAATTTACAAAAGAAATTTGCAACAATAAAGTTTAAGTAGCTTATGATTTTTTACATAAATTAAACGATAAAGTATTAGAATGAACCATACATATTTATGACAAATTTAGTATATACCTATCTCATAATAACTATATTAATATTAATAAAATTTAATCAAAAATCAAAATTTTTTTTAGTTTGCTCTCTCTATGCGAGTGGTTAATCTGGAGTAAAGTTTAATTTTTTATTAAATCCCAAGGTTTAAACTAAATTATATTTCTTCTAAGATTTGGATTCAATTTAGCGATCAGAATCAAGTAAATTCTTTTTCGTTGGAGTAATTTACTAACTCATTGAAGTTGTTGGCTTTGAATTTGATTAGTCTTATATTGTTTATTAAGAATTTTAAGATTTAAAAGTGTATCCGTTAAAGGCCTCTTAAATGGAATCTCTTTTCAAAAGTTCTGCATTCTATTTAGCTGAAGCCTCGTCTTCAGGGTCTTAAAGATTGGCAAACTTTTAATCAAAATTATCGGAACTTGACTAAAATCTACTTTATTACTAAATTACATTAATTTTATAAGGAGGTTATTTTAATTGAGTTAAATAGTCATCCCATTTGATATTCTTAAACCAAGGATGAGCAAATACTTCTTCAGGGCCATAAAATCCTAATCTATTTACTGGTTTTCTTTAGATCATTTAATTAATAAAATCAGCAGCCTCATCAGACCAGTCTATTGGTTTATAATTAGCCTTAATTGTAACTTATTTAGACAAAATTTAGTCTCTAATCTCTTTTCTGGTTTTACCCAAATATGGTCTCTATTTTAGGTTTATACATTACTTTTCCCATCATACATTCGTAAGCTATTACTCCAACTGCAAAATAATCCACTGCCACCCCATGAACTTATCTGCACATAACTTCAGGAGCCATATACCCAGGTGTTCCACTAGTGTCTCCATCATTTCCTGGTTTCCATATTCTTGCAATACCAAGATCTGTCAATTTCAAATAACCTAAATAGTAAATTTACAATAATATACCATTTTTATCAAAGACTAAATTTTCAGGTTTAATATCTCTATGTATAACAGTGCTATTATGAAGATATTCTAAGGCCAAAAGTATGCAGATGACAAAAAATTCTAGTTTAATCAAAATACCTCTTTACTTGTCTATTCTTCATTAAACGTCCTATTTTTACAAAGATGAAATCTAAGGTCTCCTCCAGTCATAAGATCCATAACTAAATAGAGACTTTCTCGATCTTGAAATGCTGTGTGCATATTTACTAAAAATCTAGTTATACATATTTTATTACGGATGTCTGAGATTGCTTAATAAGTATCTCTCATTCATCACCGAACCAATGCTTTTTTTATTAACAATCCTTTAAATAGACATTGAATAAACTAATACTTGCATTTCTACATTTCTTTGATAGCATATTGATGTTTAGTTTTCCTATGTTCAGCTCTCCAGACCCTCCCAAATCCACCTCTCCCAATAACATACAAAAAATTATATTCGCATTTATTAGGCACTAAGGTAAAATGAAGATTTACCTTTTATTTCTTTAACATTTAGATCTGGAGCATTATTGCAATTACCCATTAAATAAATATATAAATATTTTATCGAGCTCATAATTAAAATTTTGTATGAACTTTCACATTAATTTCTTTTTCTTTAATGATAACCTATTGTTGTAGTTATTAAATATCAAGAATATTTTTGACATATTTTTAAGTACCCAAAAGTTATATCAATTAGTTCTTTAGTCTTTCAAGTAATTATGCTTCTCTCTTTACGTATTCAAACGACTTAGTCATATCATAAACAGCTGTAAATATAAATAACTTTAAATTATTACAATTCAAATTTTTTATAATGTTAGGTAAACAGTTACAATTATTCAATCAACTATTTAAATCTTATTATTATCCAAACTTGAAAATACCAAGATCTAATTTATTTAAGATTAAAAATACTATATATAGCTGTATCAATCGTTTTTTTTCAAATCAAATGGTAAGACATGATGAACCAAGTATTGAATATGAGTTTACATAAACAATCTCTCTTCTCTGAATTCACCCAGAATTATTCTTCCAAAATTTACAAATATTTTTTTGTTATATACTTACTTAAAGTTTAGAATAAATTTTTAGAACTCAAATTAAAATCTGATATCTAAATTTAGAGGTAATTAACTTACAAGGAGGGCATTATAAGATTAATTAGATGAACCTTATTATTCTTTTGTGGAAGCATTAGAAAATTAATTTTATTATTACACTTTAATATATTGACACAATCAGTAATAAATATATTCTGTTAATCGAGATTTTTTTGGAGAACTTAGATTTGTTTACTAAGTTCAGTTACTTTGATTTCAAAAAGCTCTACATCTATTTTCCTTCTCTTTCTTGAATCCCTAGCAGATTGTCTGTTCTTGGCCAATTTCATTTTATTGCTGTCATCCAAGCCTTGCTCTTCGAAATAGTATCCATTTTCTTTTTCAAATTATTTCTTCGCTTTAAGATAGGCCTTTTAACTAATATAGTAGAGCAGACTCAACCAATCTATGGGATATGATTGATGATTGGACAAGAGATATACATATGCCAAAACATCATCTAGAAACTATATGGATGAATGGGATTTTATATATTTGAAATGAAAATATGAATTAATTTATATCAAAGCTCTTAGAAATCATTTTATAAAAATCATTATTAAATTTCATAACCAATCAGCAGTTAAGGTTCTATTTTCAATAAGAAAAATTTATTTTCATTTCAAATATATAAAATCCCATTCATCCATATAGATTCTAGATGATGTTTTGGAATATGTATATTTTTTGTTTAATTATAAATTATATTCCATAGATTGGTTGAGTCTGCTCTAAAGTCAAATCTTATAATTTTGAGTATTTTCTAACATTATAACTTTAAAATAAATATATATATTACTATTTTATAATAACTTTGAATATTTTCTTCCTAAGAAATATTATATGCATGTGCTATAATAACGATGATATTAAATCCTTTATAATTGATAAATTTAATCATTTAAAGCATAATTATTTATGACGCATTGATATAATGATTAATGAAACTTGAATTTTGATCCCAGATTAATGCCAAATAAATAGGATCAAAATGTATTTACAAATTTGTTATAAACATATTTTAATTTTGTTTATGTTTTGGAGATACAAGACATTATATTTATATTATATTTTAAGTATTCAAAATGTTGAATAACATTTATATTTACATCATTTTCCTTATAAATAGCTGACAATTGAACTTAATGCAACTGTTAATGTTGTTATGAAAATAAAAAACAGGAAATAGACAAAGAAATAGTAATATGCTAAATTTTTTGTCAGTTTGTACCTAAATATTGAGAATAAATAATACTTCTTATTTATTACTACTATGCAAGTCATTATTATATTCATCAAAGAAAAAACAAGAACGCAATAAGCAATTGAATTATTCATTCTAGCAATAATCTAAGTATATTATATAATTTTACAATATCTGTTTATGAGTCACTCTTCGCATCTCTAAATAGATCAAAAGAGATAACTCCTGGAAATGACTTGATAGTAGTCAACCTAACCAAAGCTCCTCCAAATCCACATAACATATTAAAAATGGTTCCTGAAAAACATCCTGTCATTGCCATCAATCCATAACCGATTGAAGCCAATTTAGTATTGACAAAGAAATCGCAAGTAGAATTTCCAAATGCCAAAAATGTCATTCCTAAATAAGAATAACCGACTCCAGTAATTGTTTGTATTAACTAAATAACATTAAATGAATAATAATACCAAGATAAAATCAATCAAGACTTAAATCACTGATTTGCACCAGATAATTGAACATATAACACATTCAATTAATATTATAATGATAGGAATTTCAAATATTAATTAATAGATAAACAAAAGGATTCCAAAAATTTCCAAAATTATCCATAATTTAATACCGTAAACTTCCATTGAGAGAGCTATTAAATACTTAAAAATAGGTTATACATCCTAGTAAAGCAAGCATAACAATTGGACAGATGAGTTAATGCATAGCTGTGAATGTTTTATCATACTTTTCTTGGTTGCTTGCAGGAATAGTGAATTTCCTAACAATATCGAGAGAAGTTGTATAAATATATTTCATCTTTGCAATTACAGACATCTCTTCAAAAGGTATTTTGTATTATTCAGAATTGTATTTTGTCAATTCTTTTTTAATTTCCTCATCAACATTTTAAATATCTTGATTTCCAATTTCTCCTTCCTCCATATGTAATACCAATTGTTTCTTCTCTTGCTCCATTCTATCTTCCTCTGAGTTTATTCGATCTTCTTGCTCCTCTAAAATTTTTAAAAGAAAACTTACTTTTCTTTAGTGTCTTCTCATTTGCCAAGACAACTACTATATATACTAAATATAGTGAACAAAAGCCTATAGCCATGTAATGGTTGATTTGTCCAATGAATGCAAAAACCATCAATAAAAAGATGGCAACTCCATTAAATAAAATATCTCTTATAAATGGCACCTTTTAAGCCTTTAAATGTTAATTATAAACAATACTTTGATTATTCCTGAGAATAGGATCACTGCTCCAAAAACTAGAGTGGTCATACATAAACAACTTCCAAAAATGCTTCCAACTGCGATGAGGATTCCATCGTCGTCTTAGGAAGCCAAAACTGCACAGAAAAAGTCTGGGACACCATTTGCAAAGGCAATTAGAGTAACCCTTTAATGAAAATATTAAATACCCTGCAAAAGTTTAAGACATTTTGAAGTATTCTGCAATGAAAGTCACAGCTGGAGACAAATAGTCATCAACAGTTCTTGCTAAAAAGTTGAACAAGAAGAAAAAAAGGAGTGGCTATGAAGATATTAACTGAGTTCTTTTACAGCTATTAAGATCAATATAACCCAATTTTCATCGAGTTGACAGAAATAATAATGGGTAAATTTGAAGATTTCTTAGTCATTACAATTCTCCTTCACATAGACACAACTGTTTTCGGAAGCTTTTATTAGCTAATAAAGGCATGCCTGAACCATTCAAACAAAACGAATATATAAAAATACTCAATATTTTTTCCCTATAAATCCCGAGTCAAATTCTTTCAATTTGTGTTTTTTAAAAAGATTCATAAAGCAACTCACGCATATAAGACTTTAAGTTATTATCGAAAAACTATGTTTAACTACATTGTTAATTGTAGCTAAACTTCCTCATGTTTAAAAAAATTCTAACAAACCAAAAAAAAATGTCAAAATAACGAATTTTTTTTTTTAATTTCTAAATATTTTGGCGGTTTTATTAAACTTCAATACTATAAGAAAAATGGAAAACATCGAACAAATCAATACGCAGAATGCTTTACACTTTGTTATCACTCAACTTTACACATACCATATTAAAATTTTTGTCCACCACCCTCCAAAAAAAATGTCAGACTTTATATATTATAAATTATAATATGATGTATTTGCTCTTTATACATTAATTTACTTCCTAAGTTTACTTCTTTCTCAACCAATTATTGAAAGATTTCAATAATTTTTAGAGAGGAGTTGCATATGTTACTAATTATTTAATAAAGGACTTATTAAATAATAATAAAGCTCTCATTTAAAACTAGTGTTCCCTAAAATAAACTCAAGAGATAAGGAGCAAATAAGAATCAGAATGTTGTCTATGGGGAGTTAAATACTTTATTGAATGGCTCTTAAATTTCTTTCTTTCGAAATTTAGGCATTTTAAAATTATTTAATAACTGGTAATTTATAAATGGTTAATGCTATTTAGTATGATATAGTTTAGATTTAACTAATAAATGGATGAAAGTTTCTTTGAGTACTATCCTAGTTATAATGCAATCTGTTCTGATGTATGGATAAATACACAAATTATTTTTTTTAAAAGTCAATATAAAACCTGATGATCTCATTATATTATGTGCTTAAAAATTTACATTAACTTAATACAAGAGAAGAATATGTCTGTTTCTAATTAACATAACAATTATGAAAGTATAGATTCATGGAAAATTTCATCAGAAGATGATCATTCAGTTTTAGAAATATTTCATTTCATTACAACATTAATTGTTAATTAGATTTATGAGAATAGAACTATATTCATGTTATAGGTAAGAAAATATAGGGAGAAATGGGTAGAAATTAATGGGAAGGAAAGGGATTGGAGAGTTCAAACGAAATTTATCATTATTAGTAATAATTTAAAACCATTTTAGAATATCATTGTAGTTTGAAAAGATTAGATTTTAAAGACAAAAAAATGACGAAAATACTATTCAGAGTCTGCTGAAAATATTATAAAATTAAAAGGATGACATAATAGAGAGAGCCTAACAAATTAATAATAAAATATAGAGAATAGATAAACTACTTTATGATATAAAATTTATAAAAATGTAATAAAAACATGAAGCTAGTTTCTCAATAGGATAGCTTGAAGATGATTTGAATGGAGTTGAAACATCGCCTTCTCGATAATTTGATTCATTTAAACTAATCAATTAATTATCTATAAAAACAAAGGATTCTGTGGATTAGAAATTTAAGTAATACAAAAGAAGATAAAATCATCATAAATCTGATATTCATAGACCAACGTAACTTCAATCAGTCGATAAGAATAATGATTAAACTGAAAAAAGAGGTGCGACATATGAAAGAATACCTAGTGATTTACAAATAGATTCTCAAATCAGATAAGCTAAAAGAAAGAACATTAAAGTTTCGGAATAGGGTCTTAGTCGAAATAATTTACTTGAATCGAATTCGTCATCGTATAGTTCAAAGTTAGGTTCAAAATAAAACTGTGTAAAGGGAATTTTGAAGAAGTAGACACTCGATTCTTCGTTCTCTGATAATAACTCTAGAAGCAGTAGTATAGGTAGTAAGAAAGGTGTTAAGTTCAATTTATCAAAGCCAGAAGTCAGAATGGCCATGAATTAATGGAAATGAATACTTTTGATGGAATTCATCTTTTCATTCGAAATGAATCAATAATTTTATTTTCAATAATAATTAATTTTATAACATGGCCTGTTCATATGTATTTTCCGATGACAAATCTTTCCTACAAGATTTGGATTTCATGTTGGAATAATCAGATTAATGTCCTTCCTTGTTAAAATGCTAATCATGTTCAATCTAGCTGTAAAAGTAATAATCAGATAATAAATCTAATGTATCATGTGCTGATTTAGTTGATTTGGAGAGAGGAGGTAATTTATTCAATCATTTCAGGTTGCATCCTCCAGACCAAAATCGGTCCAATTTAGTACGGAATGCCCCCAGAAACAATAAAGGACTGTTTAAATTTAGGAATGGAGGTTCCAACATTTTATATAATACCAACAAAGAGGTATCAAATTTAGAAATGCTAAGATTTGATAAAAGACTGGGTATAAGCACTGCTGAATTCGAGTTTCCAGCTTATTTTAATTTCTTTTGTAAAAAGAAGTAAATAACATTGATCTGTACTGCTGACACAGAAAAGGCAATTAGAACTGTTTTTCAAGAGACTCTATTAGGTCCAGTCGATCATCCTGATTTGGCACTTGATTTCTACCATAAATTCCCAAAAAGTGCATACCCAGATTTTCATAAAGAAAGGAGTGTATTTTCAAGGAATCCATCGAATTTGGATGAAAAATTGACGATAGACCATTTATTAAAATTTTGTTTATTTGATGAAAACAATACAGCCACAATAACTGAAGGGGAGATCACAATTAAAATAATTAAGGATAGCAATTCATTTAAGATCTTAGAAAATGGGATATATCTGAAAGGCATTCAAGATACATTTACATTCCCTTCATAATATTATGAATATATTGTTACTAAACCAGATGATTATCGAGCTGAAAGCATGAAGAATATTAAATCTAAAAGGGATGCTGCAAAAGAATAATGTCCAACTCCCTTATTGGTAAAGCAATTACCTGAAATGACAGTTGAAGAAAAAGTAGAAAATTGGGTTATTGGTAATAAATATTAAAGAGGTGGGGAGAAGAAGCTGTCCGTAGTCTTATGGGATCAGATGGGAGGACATGTTGAGACTGGATCGGCTATTTTCTAATTAGATATTGATGAAAACAAATCATTTACACCACCAGATTTTGGTGTTACCATTCTAGGATGTGTAATTAAAATTTTATGTATTTTTAGTCCCATGGATTCGATCCTAAAGGGTCAACTTCTGGTTATATTTTCTGGGTTAATGGAAGAGGAATAATGGTTGATCCACCTCCTTTTGCTTCCTATCATATGAAATAGATGGGAATTCCATCAATATTAATTTGTGCAGTTATTATTAGTCACTGTCATGCTGATCATGATGCTGGTACATTCCATAAGATATTGGATGATACTCGAGTAGAAATTATAACAACTAGAACAATTATGAATTCCTTTTTAAGAAAATATTCTGCAATGTCCAATATTGATGTTGATTCCTTAAGGAGATTATTTATTTTTAGGTATTTCTTTATTAAATATCCCTAGACCGGCTATCATTGGAATTCCTTTGAATATCTATGGAGCCTACTTTAATTTCTTCTATGCTATGCACACTATTCCAAGTCTTGGGTTTAGTGTTAAATTGGAGAATAAATCAATGTATTTTTCATCTGATACATTTTTTGATCCAGATTAACTGTTGGTCTATAAAAATCAAGGAATTCTCTCACAAAAAAGATATGAACACTTAGCCTTTGTAGAATTCAAGGAAGATTTAATTCTTCATGAGGCAGGTGTTCCTCCTATTCACACTGCATAGTCTGTGCTTGGCAAATTACCAAATAACATTAAAAATAGACTTTATCTCGTACATACAGCCTAAAAAGATTTGAAAAAAGAGTTAGGTTTAAAGATAGCCAAAACTGGTATAGAAAACACAATGATTTTGATACCAAGTAATACAAATAAGCATTTAACAACAATAAGAAGACTTGATTTGCTTTCAACAATAGATATTTTTGAGCATTTAACTTTGAAAAATGTGAGATGGCTTTTAGATTCAGTGACGTCTGAAGAGTTCTTTCCAGGATAAGATGTTATTAAAGAGGGTACTGCTGGAGATAGATTCTATATTATTGAATCAGGACTAGCAAGAGTCTACTCAAAGTAGAAAGGATAAGAATTTGAGAGATACTATTAGGTTGGTGACTATTTCGGCGAATCTGCTGTATTATCAAATGAAGGAAGAAGGGGAGCTTCGTAATTATTATTATTATTAACTCTTTTAGTGTCGAAGCTGTCACAAATCTTAAAGTGCTTATTCTAGAGAAACACGATTTCTGGTTTATATTTGGAGATGGTCTTGGCGGGTAAGGTCCTATCATCTAAAAAATGAAATAATTGACTGCTGCCAGAAGGTCGAAAGCTGTTCATTGTCTATTTAAGAATTCAATTTTATCTGAATTGACTCCTTCATAAAAAACACAATTAGAAATGATAATGAGAGAACAAGAAATTGAGAAAGGGACTGTGCTTTGGAAAGTTGGTGAGAAACCAGAGTTTGCTTTCATCATAAAGAGAGGAACCTTTGCATTTTATGACTGTCCAGAATAAGATCTAGAAGAATTAGACTCAGGAGCTTATGTTGGAGAATTAAAAGCTATCATTGAAAATACTGCAATTTCTACATCCATTAGAGCAACCAGAAAGGCTACAATATTCAAGATTTCCAGAAAGGATTTAATTAGTTTTGCTAATAAACATCCTGGAATCTATATGATATTGATTGATACAAAATATTTAGAATGAATAATATTAATTACAAAAATGTATTTCACTTTTTCTCAAACAACTCTATTAGCATTTCTGCATCAAATCTTGAATCTATTAATGCTTGAAACTTGTTTTATAAACTAAATCTGTCTATTAGTTATTTTTTGTTTGATGGCCATAATGATGGTGGTGGATATATTAAATCTATAGTAAGATACAAAGCATTATCTAACATTTAAGTGATTACTCTTTGATGATATGGGCTATCAGGAACAAAACTGGGATTTAAATTTAATTCTACTAACCAGGGCTTGAATTCTTAATCAATGATATAATTCAAACCTATAATCTATATATATTATATTTATACTTCAAAATTATGATCTTTCACTACTAAATGAGTAAACACTGCTTTTATCGCATGTATTGCAATTGCCTTTAATTAAGGAATCACAGTTTCTTTGAAATTTAATTTAAATTAAACGAAAAACTCCTATAATTTGTCAATCGATAACTTATTTCCTGGTTCTTAAAGGGAAAATCCTTTTGATTCCCTTTATATTTGACTATTTGTAAAATGTATCAAAGGATCCAAGTCGTGCTCATTATATTCTTTGCTACTGGTTCTACCATATACTTCATCATAAAAGTAAACTCTCACAACTCCATTTATCTGGCTAATCAGCAAATAGGTATATAAATCAAATTTCCTTTTATAATATAATAAGGGTTTTATATATTTTTAAATTACCAAAGTTTCAAAAGTGTGATCATGATTTTTAAATTCAGATACTATAAAATCTTACACCTACTTAACATTCTGGCAAATCTTCAAAAATTATCCATTATTAGCCCATTCCCCAGGCTTCACAATCCACAAAGAATTTTAATTTTTTTGTTATGTTAAAAATAAATTTAACTTTGGATCTTGTTAACTAGATATGATTATTGAATAAGGAAAAAATTAAAATAAGTCTATATTTAACAAGGATGCATATTATTCTAAGAATTTTATAAAAGTCTTCTTAAATCCTATCAATTAATTAATCTCAATGTGATTATGAAGTCTTCCACTAGGTGCAATAAGTAATAGTTTGTGTTCTATTGCAAATTTTATCTATTCTTCATAATTATCTAAATTAAATGGGTCAACAACCTTATTCTAACTTTCATCAAATAACACTCTTATCTTTTATCTATATAAAAATTAAGAATTAGATCTTTGGGACCAATAAAACTATACATCATCTGTTTTTTCAATGGATTCACACCACCACCATCTTTTTCGCATTAATTCTTTGATAATCATTTCATTTTCAGTAATTCCTTCAATGTAATAACTTTGGGATCTTACTTATGATTATTTCACATAGAATAAATGGTTACATTAGAATTTAAATAGAAATTAATAATACCGCGTGAGCTTAACTTAAAAAGGGTCTTCTCCAATCCCATTCCCTTATAATCTACTTGATTTACTGAGTGGTTCATACTATTCCAATACTTCAATAATAACTGGAGCTTGTTTTGTATATATTTTAGGCAATTTCTTAACTTAATTTTGACTTTTTGCTATCTAAACATCCTCTTGGATTTTAGTATTCTAGTTCTTTAATATTGGGATTGGAGACTTTGGTACAAATAACTTTTTTTATGTATATTCTTGTCGCTTTTTTTACATATCACGTAATACTTTGACTAGGTCTTTGGTTTTACGTTCGTTTTAATTCTATTCCACCTAATCATTTCCAGGAGGTTCATTCTTAATATGATTCTTTGATTTAATTCGAAATACAAACGCTTTTGATATTTCCTCGATTTAATTATTATGACTCTAATTTGAAATGCTTCTCAGTTCTCTAAAAATGATTGAATGCTTCTTGTAGTATGTTCCGTTTGTTTAATGACTGTAGCTATTATTGGAAATAGTTTTTTAGGACAAAGAAGACTCATGTGATATATTAATTTTTTCTTAATCAGAACAATTAGGATTTCCTTTTTAAGGGATGCAGGCAAAATAATGATGATTATTAATATTTTCGACGTGTTTAATCGTTTTTTATGAAAATGTATTCAGCTGCATTGTATAAATATTTATTTATGCAAATAAATTAATAAATAATTATAAATTACCAGTCCAAATCTATTAATCATGTCAAGAATAAAATTTTAATTTGTTTAAATGTTTGGAAATGTATTGTATTTTCCACTCTTTTAAAAATGTTTGAAAAATCAAATGCCTTTTTTGTAAAACCATTAAAAGTAGAAATAAAAGAAATTTTATATTAAATTTCTAAGTTTGAGTGTTTTATTGAATTTATTCACTATTATATCATTTTTACTTGTTTGATATATCAAATTCACAGGGAAAATTGTCCTAATTCTTTATTATAATAAATAAAATAAATCATATCTAACCAATATCTGGTTATAAATATTCATATCGATAAGCCAAAAAGGTTCTATTGGAATTACATAGATCTGAGTCAGAATTTTAGAATATCTAGAGTAAACATATCAATTCAATTTAATTTATAACAAAAATTATTAGTTTTATAATGGTTGAATAGTGAACAATCAAATGATGCTTAAAATATAATTTCTTAATGCATATTGGATCTAATTAAGGAGATCCTAGATATTTCAATTAGGCAAAAACATATGATTTAACTAATCAATTTCCTTTATGAACTTCAAAACAATTTCTTTTATATCGTATGAAAAATTGAAATTATTGTGATCTTTACCCTCAGGATAGAAAAAAGTTTTTCTTTTCGAAGCCAAACTTTTGTAGAGGTCTTCTGCCATTGAAATCGGTATGAATTTATCTAATTTACCGTGAATAATTATGCAAGGGCATACAATCTTATTGGCTCTTTTTACATTGTCAAATTAATCCTAAAGTAGATGATTAATTTCTACATACTTTCAATAGATTTGCAGCAAAGTAAAAATGCTTTTTGGCTACAGCTTTTATCGAAGTGAATGGACTTAATAAAATTAATGCTTTTGGTTAATAAATTGATGCTAAAAAACAAGCTGGACCAGTTCCAATAGACCGTCCAAAAATTGTCAGTTTAGAATCGGGAACTCTTAATTCCAAATTAATATATATAAACACATCCTCTGCATCCTTCTCGATTTATTGTTAAGTAGGTTCCGCTTAAGTGTAAATCCCGTATCCTGGATATTCCATGCAAATGACATTCACGTTCAATCCATTGCTCAAAGCAGATGTAAACTCATAACAAGTTCCTCTTTTTAATTTAAATACAATTTACATATCCTCTGCATTGCTATGAAAGTATAAGAGATATTCATCTGAGTTGGCTTTAATGAATAAACAAGGGATTTAATGTTTATTGAGCTTTGTTCTTATGAATATGAGTTTAAGTTTTGAATGCCCGTCAAAAGTCTTGGAATGATATGAAGGTTACGGATTCAAGTAAATTAATTTATTGAGACTAAGCATAATAATATAAATATATTAATTGTAATATATGCAAATAAGAGATAACTAAACAAATGAAGTTAATCAGAAAACGAATATAAAATATAATTTATATTAATGGTGTAAAGTATTCTAATTCATATAAGCATTTTATTTAATTTTGTACTTTTCTCTTAATCCTTTCCAATCAAGATATAGACTATCACTCAGATTTAACTGAATCTTTACAAAACTAAGTATTTAAATAATATGATCTGAATATTATAAATTTTTTTCATTTCCAACAGATATTTAAAATTAACTCAAAAAAGTTCAATTAGAACTATTTCACTTCAATAACTAAACTAATAACACAATATATTTATTTTTGAAACTATTAAATGTTCTGATTACATCCTTTCCCTGAATAATTATATCTTATTTCCAGATATAATAAAATTAATATATTTAATTAAAAGAACATAAAGACCTTCTCATTTTAATTGATTATATAAATAGCTTTTCTTTAAACTAATATTTATTTTCTAGATTGTTACGAATGCAATTATTCACTATTATTTATGTTAATGTACGAATTAAGTAAAAATAAATCTTTAGAAACACCAAGTTTATAAGAAACTATTAAAATCAAAATTAAAAAGAATCATCCTGACACATAAGATTCTAATGCAGTGATTACAATTAAAACAAAAGGAAATAAATACATTTTGTCTAAATTATATCCATATTACTACTTAAGATACAACTCATTATTGTTTGAATATATTAATGAGCATGAAATAAAATCATTTTTAGATGAAATAAACAAATAAATTGCAAACAATTGGCCACCAAAAAAATTGATTATATTATCCTATCTACTAATCCCTTTTAGTTTTGGATTTTCTTTATTATTACCATTCTATTGTTTCAATAACGCAGAGAAATTTGTATAATGGAAAATTGATGAATACAACATAAAGTGGGAAGATAAGGGTTTACAATTGAAATGGTATGATGACTAATTATAAATTCATTTATTCAATAAAAAAGGAAAATCAGAAGATGATGATTATCCTGATATTGATGTTTTTAATGCATGAATCACAATTTATTATTAAATATATATTTAATTAAAACAGATATCTTTGAAATTGTTCATTCTTGCTACAGAAAGAGTATATATTTATGTCTTTCAAAAATTTAAATAACAAAAATCAACCAATTTGGAAATGATATTTTTTATTCATAATTTTTAAATATTTATTAGGGATATAATAAACTGAAGCAATGGAAGTTATCAATTTATTATATTTAACAGGCATTTTCAAAACTCACAATACAAAGTAATTAATGATGAGGAATTGAATTTGGAAATAAAGAAAAAAATGAATGTATTGAATCTAATAATATATTTATAATTAAATTATCACTCCTATTGAATTTAAGAATTTGGACTAAACTATTCTAGCTTTGTTATATAATCTCTTAATTCTTATGCATTTAAATGTGTAAATTTCAAATTTTTGCCTAAAATTCCAACTTCTACATTTTTCTCGTTTAATCTAAAAAAATGTATATAAATTTCAATTACTCTTCATCTTCCATGATTGCCTTCTTAATTGCGCTTAACCCATGTAAGATTAGTTATTCTAAAGTGCTTTTTTCAAATAAATGGAACCAACTCTCGAAATAAGTTCTTGCGGCTTAAGATCTTGAACCAATAGCTTAACATTTGTATTCGTAATAATTGCCAGATGGACATGTTTCAAATAAATGAACACCATTTGGATCAATACCAGCGACAAGCAATCCGACACCATAAGGTCTCTTTGCCCCACTTTAGGTTTTGTGTTGAGACTCTTTAAGATCTTATAAAAAACATACTTTCGGCTACTTTAAAAACTAATCTTCCTACTGGATGATGAGACTCATAAGTATATTTGTATTCTAAACATTCTGTTCTCATATATTTGCATAAAACACCTGTATTGATAAATATCAGTATATACGTGCATCAGCAGTTAATCCAGCAATAGCAATAGCCATATGATCATCTATTTTAAATTATTTCTCTTAATAGCCTGCTAATTCAGAAGGTTGTCTTTTGAGACTGCATAATACAACATTTTCATTTGATTTGAGTCCCAAACATATGCTTCCTTATTTGACGGCTTCCATAGCATATTCCACTTAGAATAATTTGCCTTATGGTGACCAAGTGACACAGTCTGTATCGTACAGATGTTTGAGCATTAATTTTTAAATATAAATTTGTCACATTGGGATTTCAGAAAATTTAATAGTTAATTTCAATATTCCCCCGAAGAAATTCAGTTGCAATTACATCTAAATTTTTCATTAGATTGCTAATATATTTCTGTATCTTTTAATATTTCTATTTGAAAATAATCTCTTTATAGAAAGTATCTTAAATTTTATCAATTCAATGATTATTTATCAAAAGGATTTGATATATTGAAGCAATTTGAATGCAAATTAATACAATTATAGTAATCATTTTGTTGATTCATATTATTTATAAATATATAAAAAATAATTATGCAAAACCATACTCTTCAAACTCTCCATGATTATTATAACTACAACAACCCAATTTATTTTAAATAAAGAGAACCTTCTACTCCATAATTTTAGAAAAAGTATTTTATGAGATTAGAGGAGAAAAAATAATTTCGAATTAAAAGGTCCAAAGCTGACCTTCTGGATAAAATTCTTTTATAATAGCAATAGTTAACCACTTCTTTTAAGCCTTGGTCAATTCCTAGAAATCTTGAAAATAACGAAACTAATTAAAGAAAAGATCAAAGTGATATTAGATTTGTGTCAATAAATAATCTGCGAATTAAATGTCTCATTAACAATTCTACATAATCTTAAACTTATAAAGAGATTAATTAAAATAAATACTCACTTGATAAAAGATTCAGAACTTCCCCAGGCTTGAAGAAAATAGTAAATAATCAAAGTTAAGTAAAAACATATAGTCTTAATCATATTGTGAATCGAAATTTATAGCAAAGTTTATATTCATCATTGGCATTTAAATAGAGTTTAGATGATATATCTCCTTGGTGAATAATGAATTGATTTGCATATTATTTTAGAATTCCCTTATTTCTCCTATTATTTAAAATTATTAAATGCTATAAAATATAGCGCAAAAAAGAGAGCAATTTATTATTGGACTCAAAAAAAAGGCAAGGGAAGACACTTTCAGAAAAAATAGGTTCCCCCAATCTAAAGACATAATTCCATTTGCTTCAAACAACATCATCATATAATAGCCTTATTACGAGGCATTTGAAAGAGGCAATCAGCAGGTAACTTTATCGATAATTTGAGAAAATAAACTTCATGAATGACAATATTGAGATGGATGAAACAATAGCAAACTGCATTTTCAAAGTCTAGTAATTAAGCAATCATTATAACGAATATGATTGCGAACCTGATTATGACACTACCAAAGATGTAGAAAGAATATTCAAAGTTTTTAACATTGGTTACCCTTAAATTGATGTAGATATCAATATTATTATTAGAAATCGTGCTTACACATATTATTGGCTATTTCTGCAGGGAATCATTAACAAGTTCAACCCATTCATGAACATATACAAATGCTTGCTGGCTATTACAATTCAACTTACTATACAGAATTATAATAGTATATATTGGATATATTTGCTAATCTGGCTTGTGATTGTTACCAATGTAGGGATTTGATTTTAGTACTCTAAGTGCCAAAATGTTTATGGTACATTATATAATCAATAGAAGGAATTATACACTCTAATGTAAATAGAAATGCCTATTTGATGACTTTTATTCTTTGATTATAAATTTGGATAGAATGAAACCAGAAATTAACAAATTTAAATTAATAGAGTTGCATGATATATTATAGGATCTTTTCATTTAACTCTATAATGCCAAAGAGAAATTATGGATTTTCAAATTATTAAACAGAATCTATTCCTATGATAAATCAAAATTAGATTTGAGTTTTTTGAATTATCTATTGAAAGGTGATTATGATAACATTTAATTGTGCGGAGAAATGTTTAAATACTTTTAATATGTGTCCTTACTAGGTAAACATTTTTATTATTATAATAGACAATGAAATTACTTTAAATTTTCAATCTTAAATGGCACACACTATAATAAAGACAATCAATAAATATTTGGAATAGTAAAATATTTAAAGAGGAGATTTAAAACTTTTGGTAAAAAAAGGATTTGCCACTTTAAGCAATTTTATTACAGATGATCCATAAATTATTAATGAATTTTGGGAAGAAATTCTTCCTTATTTTTAAAATGTCCCTTCTGTATTTTTCGAGGTAGATGACTTCTTTGTGTTTCTCCACAGCATTATCAAATTTTCCAAATGTGAGGATGTTAAAAAATTGAACAATGATTATAAATTGATGAAGTAAATAACTTAAGAATTAAATGATTATAGTGAAGAAAGAGGTAATTCATTTTTATATGATATTCTTTCCATCTTATACAGACTAATCGGTATAGATTAAGTTAATATAAAAATATTTAATGAAGAAGATTGTGAATCAAGGATTTTATTTGTTTAAAAAATGAAAATCTCAGATGAAAATTATGAATTAGCAAATATGATTTTGGATAAGCTTGATTAATGATTAATTTTTGATAGAATTCTTATTTATTTTATTTCAAATATAAAGTCCTTACATGTATTTCAATTTAAAGGTAAGTTGAATTTACAAGACCTCAATAAATCAAGTACTCAATATAGTTATAAAGTAATATAACCATTATTAAAATATTTTATTTTATTTTTTATAAATATATAAACAATAATAAAATTTAAAAAAATACAATTTTGGGGAAATAATGAATCTCTTCAAGTAGAAAGTGACTTACTATTACGATGAGGAATTTGGTACATTTAATTATTCAACAACTCATCCAATGAAACCTTTGAGAGTAGCCATAACAGATGACTTAGTGGGCCATTATGGGCTAAAATAATATATGAATTGTATTGTAAGATGTATTCATTTTTAGGTTTAGGATCAATCTTTTGTTCAAACCTATATCAAAAGGGTAGATGAGGACGTATTGACTTAATTTCATTCTGAAGAGTATATTGATTTAATAAAAATAATTACACCAGAAAATAAGTGTCAACATGAAGATCAACTTTATAGATGTAAGAAAATTATGTTAAGTTATTTAGTCAATTTCATGGAAGATTGTCCGGTCTTAGATAGATTATTTGATTTTTGTTTGTGTTAAACTTCTGGATCAGTTGGGGCTGCTTGTGTTATAGCAGATTAGAAGAGCAACATCGCTATAAATTGGAGTGGTGGATTACATCACGCGAAATAAAGTGAAGCAAGTGGATTTTGTTATGTTAATGACTGTGTATTAGGAATATTGGAGTTATTGAAAACATATTAAAGAGTTCTTTATATTGACATAGATATTCATCATGGAGATGGAGTAGAAGAAGCATTTTACCTGACTGATAGAGTTATGACTTGCTCTTTTCATAAATTTAAGGAATACTTTCCTGGAACTGGACACATTGATGATATTGGACATGATAAAGGAAAGTACTATGCAGTTAATTTTCCATTGAATGAAGGCTTAAATGATGATTCCATTTAATTAATATTCAAACCTGTGATTGACAGTATTATGGAAAATTTTAGACCAGATGTTGTAATGTTGCAAGGAGGAACTGATAGTCTTAGTGGAGATAGGTTGGGATGCTTTAATTTGAGCATAAAAGGTTTTTATTTAATACTATATCTCAGGTCATGGTTCTTGCACTGAATACCTCAAGAAATTCAATGTCCCTATCATAATGGTAGGCGGTGGAGGATATACATTACGAAATGTTCCTCGTTGTTGGACTTATGAAACTTCCCTTGCCTTAAATGTGCCAATTCCTGATAATATTCCTGACGAATCTGATTACAAGGTTTACTTTGGGCCTGAGTATCAAATTACATTTACCAATCTCTAATATGGAGGAATAGAATTCAAAGGAATATTTAGAGAAAAACATGTAATAATGATTTTCATATGATAGAATTTAGATCTTAGACAACCTAAAACAAATATAACCAGGTTGTGCATAAATAGATCATTATGCAATCGGCAAAGAGAGCAGATAAAAAGTTGACTATCAGGAATTATTCTCATCATACAATGATAAAAGAGAAGAAATGCAATTAGAATAAAATCAAGACTAATAAGATTGAATCAATAAAAGTCTAATAGATTATTAATATATATAATTATTTTGTTTTTATTTTAATATTTTAGATTATCATTTCTTTTTGTTAAAAGGTCCTTTCTTTTATTACTATTACTATTATTATTATTATTATTATTATTATTATTATTATTATTATTATTATTATTATTATTATGGCTTCTATTATTATGATTCTTATTCAACCTTTGGAGGTGCTTATTGTTATGCTTATTTAGGTGGTTCACTTAATTATGGTTTTTCTTAAGCTTATGCAATTTTTTATCTTGCAATTTATTCAGTCTTATCCAAACCAAGTTTTACCAACTCTTATTCATCAGCAGGAAGTACCTATAATAAATGGTATTTTAAATACATTTTATAAACCAGCATAATTAGCTAACTTTTGAGCTTTTGGTAAAATATTGGAAGAAAAATCTTAGAAATCCAAAACATAATTTTGAATTAATCCAAGACTGTCATTCCAAGCTCTTTTAGGGAATTTTTAGAATCCTTCTTATTAGACTAATCTAGCAGAATGATTAACAAAGACTTTGCTGAATGCCAAGGGTGAAGCCTTGTACAATTCCTCAACTAACTCAATTTCAGCTGATGAATCTCCTTCGAAGTAATCCTTGTATTAAAGGACTAAATAAATTATATAATAATATTACATCCTTCCTTAGCTGCAAGATTGTAATAGTCCTTTTCAGCCGATAAGAGTGCAAATTCATTTTCAGAATTAACAGCACTTTATAGATTCTTGAAGACAGCTACATATTCTGGGTCTTTGGTCATTCTTGCTAAATGTCTTTCAATCAATCTTCTTTCTCTAGCTTAATAATCTTTGGTGCAATCAAAGGCTAATCTATATTTGAATCTCCACAATTTCTTTTCAAGAAGTGAAGTTTAATCTTCTTCAGGATTGTGAGTATAGGCTTCTTAGAAGTCAAATCTGAGAGGACTATACTTAGGATCAACTTAAGCAACAGCCTCATCGATTCTCTATTCAACTTATTCGTCATCCTTGTATAATTCTTAATCTGTTTCAAAGTAATCATTGTATAATTATTCTTCTTCAGTAAGACCTCCGTAGAAGTAAGTGTAATTGTTCTCCCATCTTTCCTTTTATCTTAATCTCATTCTTCTTTCTCTTCTGGCATGATTAGCAAAATCAAGATATTCTCTAACATGGAATCTGTTCACTTTTCTTTCTAATCTCTCTTAGATAGCCAAAACCTTCTCTGCTTCAATGACAGCTGCATATGTAGCCTTTTACATAGGTAATTTGTATTTTGGATTTCTGTAGATCCTTTCTTCATTGTAACCTGCTTATTTCAATTATTAATCAATGTATTTTAATTTATCTTCACCATGTTAGAATCTCCACATTCTATAGGCTGGATCAACTAGTAATCTGTCATGTACATCGTTATCCATTGTTACCATAATGTTTTATTCATATAATGCACTCTCAAATAAGGAAGCCTCTCTGTGAGTCCACATTTTGAACATATTAATGGATTAAATATTTTCATTCTAAAATAATTGATTTATTTTACATCCAATTCAAAAATATCAATGGGATGGAATGAATCTCTATAGTAGGACATTTCCTCATCCTCTTATTATCTGAGTCTAACCAATTTGAAGACTTGACCGCACATTGGACATCTCTACAACGGACCTTCTCTTAACATGAAGAGATGGATTTCGTGTTATTCATAATCATCTTCATTCTGTAAACCAGTGCATCCAACATATCTGAAGGGAGTATCAGCAGTAAAAATCACACAGGGATTGTCTACTGTACCAAAGTTGACTGTTTAGATATTATCTAAGTTATTGTAAACTTGTAAATGGAAGGGATTCCCGGAATAGGCAGCATAATATTCATGAAGCACTTCGTCGAAAGCCTAATAAGTCAAGTTT